TAGTTGATAACCTTCTCAGAGTTGTGCTGAGAAAAATTTAACATATTTCAGAGCTGACAATATAGTCAACATCGGACTACAGCAGACGTATCTACCGACGTGTCTCCATGATCTCTTCTACTGCATAAGAGCGTCCAATCCTTCACCCTATCAACACTACTATGCTCAACGGAGAAGCCGGCCCCGTCATAGAAGCCATCATAAAAGGAGACGGCTTCACCGTATTGACGAAGAGGACGAGAGGCGTCGTTAAACATTGATTAAGTTACAACCAGCTGTAATCGGTGAGTTGGAATCGATTTCGCTTCTCAGTTTTGTGGTTGAAGAGAAGGTTGAGTCTAGGTCAGTATTCGACAGAGAGGGACGAAGGATAGGAGCGCATATTCGACAAAGGTGGGGCATAGGATTTTTAAGGGTTCATGAAAATCCGAAAAGTTCACATAACGTTTAATTTTGGCACATGTGATACACGCCGACTTCGCTACAACAATCCGAAAAATGCGAGAGGGGGAGGGGGAGGAGGACGGGGTGGTCCACGTTTCAAAGTTAGCAATCCTGCAATTTCTGTATTTTAGCACTTGCGTCAAACCCCGAGAAATTATTCTCATCTTTGATTTTCAAAAAAGCAACCTCACTCTATAACTGTGAACACTCTATTTCCATCACAACCCCCCCCCCCCATCCAGAAATCACAAATATGCCAACCGTAACTTCTCATCAGTGGAAATTTTCCATTGGATGATTGAATAAGGTTGAGCTAAAAACACCGAAGTTTGAGTAGAAACGTGATGGTAAATTTTGTTGGTAGACTTCTGTTTAGGGAGGTTTGTATGTAGAGTTGTCCTGACGCGATGTTGCACCTGTTGAAGGATCCTAACCTCATTTCGAGCGGAAGACGGCAAAGGCTCGCCGGCAAGGGGTCGTCTTTGTCTTGGTGGTAGGAAGTGGACCTAGCTTGCCTATTTTAGTACTCATTTTTTTGGGGTCCATGGGCAGTGGAAATAAGTGAGGAATTGAATTTGAAGAAAATTTGGCCATCCACTCCAATCCTCCAGTTCAACTCTTCTCGAAGAAGATTTAGAAACAGGTCACCTATAGATTACCACCCTAAGGTAGAAGAGCCGCTAGGAAGGTTTACTGGGGGTGGCAGGGTCGTGTAGGGAGAGATAGGGCGAGTCGTACTCATCGTGGGAAGCAGGGTCGCATTGGCAGAAATCTTCTCGACTGTGTCTCGCCCTGCTCTATCCTCATCACTATTCCTGATAATTTTCTCCAGTTGTTCCTCCCTATGATCATCTACCTTGATATGTTTGATCTGTACCTCCTTCGTTGACCTTTCTCAGAGTGAATAATTTACGATTACTCTTTTTTGTTAACACCTTGTTGACACTTTGTTGTGTGCGGTACTGTAAGCATCCAATTTTTAGATCCACATTGTATTTAGTTGAGATTTTTTAAGCGATGTCAAGATCGCTCAAATTTTGTGACGAACACTCGATGACAACCATTTATCAAAGACTCGATATTGTCATCAAGGCAATTAATAAAATATTTGATTATCGCTTCAGCCAACACTATAAATCAGCTGACAGCAATACAGCACATAGAGCAGTTCTTTCGGATTTTCGCAATTCTGATTTGAAGTTATTTATCACACTTATTTATTTATTTAATTAGTCACTCGTTGGCCAATCACAGTTGGACAATACACAGTAATCATCGAATCTTTAAGAACCGATTGACTGAGCTTGAATTATCTGAGAGGGAACATTTTAATAAAAGCTTTATGGGCTCCAATAATAAGTGCCAGTCAGCTTTCAAGTGAGCAAAATGTTATGCACCGATAGATTCATATAGACCGAATGGCATTAGTTTTAGGAACCACTAGCCACCGAGCCCTGAAAATAACCGACTACTGAGGCCGCAGCACAACAGGGGCGGGTGCCAAGTGCACCTCTTTGATCTAAACACGAACCCCAGGAGCTGGCTCAGGGGTGCTTACGAAGGCTATCTACTGGTGCGCAAAGTGGTTGACGTTGATGGAGCTTGAATGCATTAAGAACGGTGAGACCTTGATGTTCATATGACGCTTGCAACGAAAGCTGCCTCACTCCTGGTCCCCTGACCCTCTACGTATTGTTAGCGGTAGGGACAAAACATCTGAAAATTCAGTTTCCGGATTCTGTACATATATGCCATTGTCGTCAAAGAGTGGCGTTATCCCTAGCGCCATCCGCCTACCCGGAACCTTATAAGTGGTTTTTTTCATGTGATCTAGTGACAACTCGGCCGAAAAAGCCTTACTTTTTTTACCTCTGCTCATTTTCCATTCGCGTTAAGGTCTATCAAGCTTTTTTTGTATAAGCTGTACTCTGTTGTGTCCGGAATAGCGCACCTACGCGTGTATCCAATAATAAATAAGTAAATATCAGGACAAGGAGTTTTGATCCCAGCAACTAAGCTCTACAACCTCTGCAGATCTTTTGTAATCCGAGGCCCATTGCTAGGAGACGTGCTCCTTCCACCCTCGCTCCTAATAATGAAACTTGGAGTTCATGTGTACGCGTAAGAACCATGATCAAAACCTACGGAGAAGACAAGGATGACTTGAGGGAAAATTGAAATTTTTGACTTGTTTTCGATGGTTATTTCTTGAATTTTCTCTTTCTAATATTAGGTTGGAAAGAAAGTTTTGCAATACGCTTCCTAAATGTGTTTTTGAATCTAAATGCCATCGGCTTCAGGCCGAGGGGCCAGGTCATCTGAAGCCGTCCCCTGTAAGTCAGATTGGCGGTGGTCTACACCAAGTCCGGTCGTTTCTTAAGGTGGGTCCTAGTGTTTAGTGATTTGTGATGCCTTCCTAGAGACATTAGGGTCTATGGGACTTCTCTTGAAGTTTGAAATGGTGTTTTGCGGGGGGGGCGGAAGGAATCACATTTATCTTTGGCTTTCCAGGCTCCGACGAAGGCGATACGGCCGAAACGTTAGCCGAGTAAAACGTTCATAATATCTTGGTTGCGGCTCAAGAAACCTCGCTGAAAGTAACTCTCGCAATGCCAAGATTGACCGAGAGTCGAACATGGACACTATTTCGACTTTCTCTGAGCGTTGCTAGGTTGGTAATTTGCATTTCTGGCACGTTTTCGAAGGATTCGTCGTTTGATAGGCCTGAAAATGGCTCAAAACTTATGAATTGCACACTATCTCACCAAACGCCTCCTCCGCTCTAGCGTTTCTGACGTTCCGTTAGGAACGCTCGGAAAACACTCAAAACTCGAAAGATAAGCTCACCTTTTACCACCGCGAAGTGTAGCAGGGTGCTACACACAGTCAGTACATTAGATAGCGAATGACCTTACTCTGGTTGTCTCAGAGTTCGGTGCGGATTTAAACTTATGTTGTGAGGCTCTGGTGGTTTTTCCAAGCACAGGTGCAACCTATCATCGTTATGTGTACCACCACTATCAGTGACTTGTTACCAACATCCAACCAAGGAATGGCTATTCAACTCTCAAAAGGCTGGCAGTTATGAGCTGGAAAAGGCAGTGAGGTTGATTTTGAGGTGCTCGTGGGAATTGTATTTTTTGTCGGCACGAAGGCGGCTGAGCAGAAAGGGCAGATGTCTTTCGAAAGAGGATGATTACCGCTGCACGATGAATGTGGTAGGACTTTTCAGCTAAGCTTCGATATTGAGAATCGCTTCATTTTCGAAACGTGTAGTCTCAGGTGTCGTGGAGCGTACACACTTTTTTGAGTTTTGACGGCAGTTGTTGGACTTTCACCGTGAGTCTCTGCCGTTGATCTGCCTACACATGAGTGAATTCATAGCTATAATGATTGACATGCCTTTAGTGGTTTACTCGAGAACGCACCAAAAGAGGTGGAGCACGACCTTGTGGTGAATTTCTTCACTTTTCACCCTCTTCTGTTCGATCCAGTCCCTGAGGATTCTAGGTGTGGTTATCATGAAACCTGAGCTTCTCAACTGCAGTAGTGGCTTTGTTCAACCAGGGCGTACGGGTGGAGTAGGAACCAAATTATGGACGGAGTGCGTGTCGCACTCCTGTCATCGGTGGTCAATTCATGGGGGAATCTTTGGCGAGGCTTCAAGCATATTTCGAAGGAGCGAGAACCTTCACGAATTGTGCATCTGGAACATCAGGATGTGGTGGCCACAAAGCAGGGAGCCCCGTGTGGAGTGGCTCCCAGGAAAGAGTACAGGCTCTCCAAATCCGACACTGATGACCTCTCTGAACGAGGGTTTGTCTACCAGCTGTAGTCTCCCAAGCAGAGAAGATCCAGCTATTCTGATACCTCACTGTTGGTGAGGGCAAGGAGATGCACCGCGATGCAGACGCCGCTTTTGGCTTCAATCGGTTTGTGGCTCAGTAGAGCTGCTTACGTCAGAGCGCGAAAAACATAGCTCTTCTCTCTTTCCACTTTGAGCTCGAAGAAGGCGACGATGGTGGGTAAGATTCGGGTATAATTTACTACACGGTGTGCCCTATCTACAGCCTACGTGAACATATTTAGAATTTGTTGAAGGAGCTTGTGGCATGAGATCCAATAAATACGCACGAACTTTCGAGACAACCTAATAATAGTTACATCCCTTCTAAACTTTTCTTTTTTTCTGAAAAGTCATGGTAGCGTTGATGAACAATGAGAGGCATTTTCGGGTCTCACCACGAGGTGGGCTAGGATGTTGCAATCGAGTATTTATCCATAGAAAATTCAGACTTCGACCACTGGTAAATCAGTAGTCCGAGTCGCTGTCTAGTTTAAATACCTCCGTAACTATGGATTTGCAATAGCCTGGGCATGTCTCTCACTGCTACGCGTGTTTCACCCTTACCTATTGCTTTCGATCTTTTGAGTATTTTTTATAAGGAGCCAGCAGCGTCCGCACACCCATGTACAGATAGGGCTCTTACGGAAGCTCCATTACGAGTTTCTTTATGGACACACAGTGCTAGAGGTCTAGGCTGCGGAGCTCCAGGAGCTGCCCGAGGCAGCTCGCCAGGAGCCCTCGTCCCGACCTATTATTTCGGGTGGTGCATTACAATACCATGGATCCTAAATTGGAGCGGGAAGAAGTTGGTATGCGGCAAAGTTTTCGCTCTCGCTATTCCCTGCGTCGAGTTTGAATGAATGCTAACCTATCTGAACTAACCATCATCTGATTGACGAATAATTATGGTGATGGAATCATGTTGGAAGTGGAGGTCGTCTCCGTTTCTCACCCGTCTCCGA